CCCGCATAAAAAGAATCATGACACATAATATGAGGCGGAGGGAGTATAAGACTATTTAGTCCTGTGATGTCAAACGGAATTGCGACTATTGGATTGGACACCGAATTATTAGTCCTTTTCTTGAATTTTCACGTACTTCCAACTGATTCCAAGCTTTTAATTTTCCCACTTTCTCTTTTTTGGAGTAATATTAAGAAAAATATTCCGCAGTCTAGAAAAAAAGGGTTGACAGACCCTTTCTAGTTGTAGCGAATTTCCGAGTTTCCAATTGGAAATATAAATTAATGAAAAGACGAAAAAAAACATGATCTATTCAAAGCATACGATAGAGGTTTCCCACTGACAACATATGAAAGCCACTGATTTGTCCTCCTCATAAGTCAAGTAGTGACTAACGAGTCTAAGAGCAGGGACGACTTAACCAAAGTTGATGGCCTTACTATAACAAATGTGATATTTAGCTACGAAAATATTAGTTACGATACAAAATTCGTCACTAATTATTCAATTTTCATGACGAAAATTATATTTCGTCTTAAATATATGAGACACACTTTTAGTGACAAAACACAAAATTCTGTAGCAAGAAATTTGTTCACTAATTAAAGTTTGCACCAAAAAATGAGTTGGCGCCACTTATTGAGTAACATTAGTCACCAATTTAAAATTATTACTGACACATTATTTTATCACTATTGATGTACAATTTGTGATAAACCATTATTTGTCTTAAAATTAAGTAAACTTTGGACGCAAAAAAAAAAATTGTCATAAAAAATATGTTGTTACATTAGCGACAAATTAAAATTTTGCAGTTAAACATCGTAAATTATTAGCTACGACCAAAAAATCATCACTAGTTCTTCACTTTTCGTGACAAAAATTACATTTCATAATTTTAGTGATAAAACATAAATTTCGTGGCAAAAGTTTTGTCCACAAAAGTGTAACGACCCGACTGGTCGTTTCGAGTATTACAGCCTTATTCCCCCATTCACTACTTATCTTGTATTAAATTATAATTATGTGACTTGTCGGAAAAGTTTCAGAATGAATTTGAACACTTAGTTCCAACATTTAAAGCTTAAGTTGAAATAGTAGATCGGATGTTGACTTATATGTAAACGACCCTGGAATAGAGTTTTGATGATTTCAATAGCTCCGTGTGCTGATTTTGGACTTAGGAGTGTGTCCGAAAAATTATTTGGAAATCCGTAGTTAAATTAGGCTTGAAACGGCGAAAATAGGAATTTAAGGTTTGGAAGTTTGACCGGGAGATTAAATTTTTGATATCGGGGTCGGAATCCAATTCTAAAAATTTTGATAGATCTGTTATGTCATGTATGACTTGTTTGTAAAATTTGAGGTCAATCGGACTTGATTTGATAGGTTTCAGCATCGAATGTAGAATTTGGAATTCATTAATTTTATTAAACTTGAATTGGGGTACGATTCGTGTTTTAGTGTTGTTTTAATGTATTTTGATGCATCGACTAAGTTCGTATAATGTTATGGGACTTGTTAGTATACTTGGTTGGGGTCCTATGTGGCTCGAATGAGTTTTGGAAGAGTTTTTGGAAGAATTTGGTGTTTTGAGCATAAGCATGTAATGATCCAAAGGTCCATTTTTAGTTCTAGAGATCGAAATTCTATTTCGATACTTCCGGGAGTTTGATAATGAATTATAGGAATGATATGGAATGTTTGGTCTAATTTCATCAAGTCGCGATTAGGTTTTTAGCGCGAAACATGAGTTAATTGTTTAACGAGCGAAATTGGTATCGCATTAAGCAAATGAGCTCTGAATTGAGTTTCGATTAAACGACTAGGTTCATATTATTATTTGTGACTCATACGAACAAGAATCGTCGAATTCCGAGTTCGTATGATGGAGTTAGAGCCTTTTTAGTAAAAACATAAATTGCTGGTGCAAGCAGGTTCTAGTGCGGACCTTTAGTGACGGGAAATTGACTTTTAGTGACGGAAAATAGATTTTTAGCGACCAGATTGGTGTTTTTATTGAGTTGTTTTTTTTAAGCTTATTTCAACATTTTTGGGCGAAAGGACACGGGTTGAGGCGATTTGTGAGCGAGAATTCACGAAAAAACTTGAGGTAAGTCCCTTGTGATCATTGTTAGTCAATAATATTGAATTATCATTGAGTATTCCGACTACATTACGTGTTTTTAGGTATAATTCGAGAAATTGGGCCTAGGGATTTGAAAATAAGATTTGAGATTTGGAGGTCGAGTTGATGTCGGAATTTGGTAAATTTGGTATGGTTGGACTCGTGGTTAATGGACGTTCATATTTTGTAACTTTTGTCGGATTCCGAGACGTGGGTCCCACTGACGATTTTTGAGTTGAATTTTGGATTTTGTTGGAAAATTAGTATTTTCATATGGAATTAATTCCTATAATTTGTGTTGAATGTATCGAATTAATTGTGACTAGATTCGAGGTGTTCGGGGGCCGATTCGCGAGGAAAATGCGTATTGGAATAAAGAATTTCACGGTTTAAGGTAAGCAACACTTTTAAACTTGGTTATGAGGGTATGAATTCCTGAATTTCGTATTATATGAATTGTTTGGAGGTGATGCACATGCTAGGTGGCGGGCATGTGGGCGTGCACCATAGAAATTATGACTTAATTGATTCCGTGAAGTTGCATAGTCAAATACTCATGTCATTATCCATATATCCTCCACGTGTTAGAGAAAATTGAGTTGAAACTCATGTTAAAGATCATGTTTAGGCTATGTGCCGATATTTTGGGACCCACAGAGGTCTTATTTCTATTGAATTACTTGTTTAAATTTATAATTTTGTACTCAGTCACATCTATAATTTGCATATCATATCTCAGTCTCTGTTGCTATTCATTGATACATCATATCTCGGATTGATTTTTATGTCATTGAGAGCCCGAGAGACTGGAGATTTTGAGTGATATTTATGGGATCGGGCTGCACGCCGCATCATATTTTATTTATTTATGCCTGGATCTGGCTATTATAGTGCTTGGGCTGAAGGAGCCCCTTCGGAATCTGCACCCCCCCACAGTGAGCGCAGTTAATTTTATATTGAGGGATGGATCTTCCCTGGGCATGGATGTTGCCCGAAGCATTTTATATTGAGGGATGGATCTTCCCTGGGCATGGATGTTGCCCGAAGCATTTTATATTGAGGGATGGATCTTCCCTGGGAATGGATCTTTCCCGAAGCATTTATATTGAGGGATGGATCTTCCCTGAACATGGATCTTGTCTGAATCATTTATATTTGGGGATGGATCTTTTCCTGGGTTAGATTGACCTTATACAGTACTGTGTGACTGACTGTCAGTTGATGTATATATATATATATGGGATGGATCTTCTCTGGGCTGGATTGGCCATATAAAATACTGAGAGATTGAGTATTCTGAGAGTGTGAGTACACGAGGTTTCCATTGTGGTATATCACATACATCATATATTTTGGCATGTAGATATAGATATGTTATATTCCTCATATCATGCATAATTTTTCTATTTTACTTGCACTGAGTTTAACTGTTGAACTTGAAAGCATGCCTACATTTCTATACTGTTATTTCTATACTGGACTGTACCTGTTGAGCTCGTCACTACTTTCAGCCCAAAGGTTAATCTTGTTACTTATTGGGTACATGGGGTCGGTTGTACTCATATTACACTCTGTACTTCGTGTGTAGATCCAGGTACTTCCGGATACGGCAGTTGCTAGATTTGTGGATTTATCTGTTGGAGACTATCGAGGTAGCTGCTTGGCGTCCGCAGACCTTGACTCTCTTTCCTTTCAGTTGTTTGTACAGTTCTATATTTCCGGATAGTGTTTTATCAGTCAGACTATATTATCACTTAGATGCTCACGTACTTAGTGACACCGGATTTTGAGAGTGTATTTATATCAGTATGTGTGGGGTTTTTCTATTAAATTTATATATTATGTTTTCAACTTTAAGAGAAATTGTGGTTTATTGAGATTGTCGGCTTGCCTAGTATTGAGATAGACACCATCATAACATGTGGATTTTGGGTCGCGACAAAAAGTTTCCCACCAAAATAATGTTGTTTCGCCCAATATTGAATAACATTAGCCAAAAAATTAAAAGTATTAATGACAAACTAATTTCGTCACTAATGTTATAGACAAATATGTCACAAAATTGCAGCCAGTCACGCCATTTTGTAATTTCCCTTGAATCTTTAAGAATGTCTCACGCTTAGAGAGATTAAAGAGTGAAAGAGTTTAAATACTCTTCATAACTATGGTCAGCATTACATCATCACTAAGATTACAGAGTAAAGAGTTTACTTTCAGATTTTAATAAATTTAATTCATAATATATTCTCTCATTTCATTATATTTCTATTTATTTTAGTTGAAAAAAATACATCCTTCCCTCACCAATGAACCGAAATCATTTCTCTCACAACTATCTCAAATTTTAAATTCATATTATTGCTCAAGCATCAACCAAATAATACTATTATCTATTTTTAATACTAAAACTTTTCATCAAAATATTATCTAATATTATTTCTTCTGAAAAATATATGATCAAGCACCGAAAAACAATTGATTTCCACCCTACCACCCCATGTAGTCAAGAAGAGGGGCTATTCGTTTTGACGGAAATTAATGAAGTGACGTTCATTTGGCGTACGAATCTTTCCATTAAGAATGATTGTATTCAAACCAAACAGGATGGCGGCAAATAAAATTTTCTCTCTTGTCTCTCTCCAAAGCGTTGAAATTAGAAATGAGTTGGAAAAACTTGGTTAGTTGACTAGTTGACATTTTTATTTAGGGGGTGTGTAACATGTCAATGTAATAACTACATAATTTAGACTTTTATTTTCGTCGTCTACCTCTTTTAGACAAAATAAAAAATAAAAAAATATACTCCTACTATCTAAGATCTGGTGGCTGTCCTATAAGAAGACTTGTCCAAAGAGAAGAAAGTCTTGCAAATGCTAAGAGTAGTTCAATCATGCTAAGGAAATATAGCGCAATGGATTCTACTACTAGCATTTATGATAAAGAACAAGTGTTACTAGTTTCTACCAAGAAGGTAAATGTTTGTAAAACTCATGTAATTGCGCGAATTTACTTTTTCACAAATTTCATCATCGTTATATTATATGAATGGTCATCTAATTGTTCTTTATCGATCATTTGTTGATATGCATAAGTTGCAGGATATCATTACAAATTATTATTTCTCTTTAATTTGAAGATACAAATCAAAGGGAGATGTGTAAATCAACCATATATATGATTTTCATTTTAAGATTTCATGCTTGAATAGTTGAAGATCTTTCTTAATTAAGATATCAAGTTCATAGGGAGAAAGATCAGCAACTAGTACAAGTAATTTTCTTCTAAAATCTTGGTGAATGTATCTCTGCATAGATGCTAAGGAATGGAAAAGACAAAAGGTACGAGAAAGAGAATTAAGATTTAGCTAAAGAGAGTTCCTGTTATATCTATATATAAAATCAAATATGTGATAGTCATGGGTCAGAGTTCATAATATTTATTATGATTACACCATGTGGTGGTCTCGACTTTGCATTATTATTCTTGAGAGAAACTTTAGGCAACGTGGACGGCTCACAAGTTTATTCGGAACCAATTTTTATGTTATGTTATAATATATGTTCTCTATAACAGGGCTTCGCTATAACATCCAAAAATATTCGGAACAAACGAGTCTGTTATAGAAAGGTTTGACGGTATAACTTAGTCAGTAACTTCTTTCCTTTATAGTAGATCTACTAGGAAGAAGAGTGATATTTTAAAGCCAAAATGACATCTTTGTCCTTTGATCCTCCCCTCCTAAAGCACATGCATCATTTCAAATTTCATATGTATTTATTACTAGTAGTAGTTAATAATATATGTAGTAACTATCCCATGTTCATGCAGGCAACTCTAACAACAACCATGAATACCAATTCAAGAGACTCTTCCTTAAATTATAAGAAGAATGATCAGGTATACATTTAGTTGAGAGGTTTAATTATTAGCTTGCTCATTTGCACCCAATAGTTATGGAATTACCATAATTATTAACGGATAATTAATTATTTATACCACTTATAAAAAAGTCTCTTATACAAACTTTAATTTAAGCTGATCGATCAACCTATATATGTACTTTGACTATCACTATAAGAAACGTGGTTCTTCCTGGCGATTATAGTCCTAATTATGAAAGTAAAAGAGTTACCACTTGAGGATTGCTGAGAATAGTCTTGTCGCTGAAACATCCTAAATCACAAAACATGCACATATATAAATATCATGTTTGTGAATAGATGATAAAAATCTTGAATGCAATATATGTATATAATTTTAGTTTGAATCCAAGTATATATAACTCGTGTACATATTTTATCAGGAGGATAAGCTGAATTCAACAAAAGCTCAGATTGACGAAGCAAAACAAGAAAACGAAAGGCTAAAGTCCATGCTATCAAAAACCATAAAGGATTACCAATCCTTACAAATGCATTTTCAAGGCATATCTCAAAATTCAAAGGATATTATTGCAACAAGTATTGAACAAGAACAAGTGGAACTTGTTTCACTGAGCCTAGGGAGAAGTTCAAGAGAGTTCAAGCAAGATGAAAAGGAATATGATCAAAATGAGTGTAAAGATATTAAAAAGCAAAGTAAATTATTTGATGGGCTTGAGCTGGGATTGAACTACAGATGTAGTCCAGATTTTACTGAAGTCACAAAACATTATGATGATAGCCCAGAAAATAGCTTTGAGGAATCAAAGAAGGAGCATATAATAAGTGAACCATGTATACAAAATTACCCTAGTTCAAAAATGTCACGAATTTGTGGAGATGAGGATGAAGATTTTCTGCAGCAGAACCCTCAAAAGAAGGCTAGGGTATCTATAAGAGCTGTGTGTGACACTACTACGGTAAGTAATCAGTCAATATATATACTTCATTGAAATTGTCTATAAAGAAAATCGGAGCAAGTGCACGGATAGCCATTTTCAGGAATGCTATTTAGAGATTAACTGGTATTTATTTTGTCCTGAAATGTTAAACTAAAAATCTTAACTTCAGAGCACTTCAGAACAAACACTTTTGTCCCAAAAATTTGAACTGAGAAACTAAAATTTAGGAGGCACTGAGTAATTATTAAATAGTAACCCTTTGAAGTGGCTACCTGATTCTACTAGAAAATCTTGATGTCCTGAAAGTATATGTTAAAGGTATTGATGGTTTTATCTGCTAAATAGAGAAATTACTTATTACTCAACCAAAATCACTTTAATCATGTAGTTAAAGATTGTATTTACAATAATTCACTTTGTGTCTAACACTCCTACTAATTTAAAACGTTTAAATTTTTTTGTACTATATTTTCATGTGATATTTTCGATATCAAACTAATTCAGCAAAAACTATTTTAATATCATTCTTCTACCACTACACTTGTAATATAAATGTTAAATAATTGGTATATTGTACTCCATTGTCCAATAATCTGGTAGTATAACTTAAAATGGGATGGATGAAATGATATGTTATGCTAGATTACAATTAGCAATAAAATATGTTGATGCCCACTCAAAGGCGTATCTAGTGTAGAAGCTATGGGTTCATATATAGCTTTCGCTTATTTTTGCTCAAAACATTATTAAATATGTACAAATAATAAATTTTGAACTCATTAAATTAGATGAGACGTGATAGGATGTTAGATGTGAAATTAATGGACTTGCAAACTAAATGCAGATGCATGATGGATGTCAATGGAGAAAATATGGACAAAAAATAGCAAAAGGGAATCCATGTCCTAGGGCATACTACCGTTGCACTGTCTCCCCATCCTGTCCTGTAAGAAAACAGGTAATTACGTCGAGTATTTCTTTATCAAGTTATCAATTAATGTTTATTATTGAGATTTACGTAATTTAATTCTGTAAATACATTTTACACCTACAGTATATAAAACTTAAACTCTATGCAATAATCATATTTTGTGATCCAACACAGGTTCAAAGGTGTTTTGAAGACATGTCCATATTGATCACTACCTATGAAGGAACACACAATCACCCCCTTTCATTTTCAGCTACTGCCATGGCTTCTACCACCTCTGCTGCTGCCTCTATGCTAAGTTGCACCTCCTCCTCAACATCACAACAAGGGATAATAAATGCTAATACTAATAATAATGTTCATGTTTTCAACTTCACCACTTCAAATACTAACTTATTAGCCACACATGCACCAAATACTTTTTACGTACCAAGAACTTCCATTTCCACATCCCAAACACACCCCACAATCACTCTTGATTTCACTACTGTCCCAACAACAACATCATCATCTACTAATACATTCTCTTCTCAAAGATATTCTTCCACTTCTCTCAACTTCTCTACACTACCATCAACTCTTCCTTCTTCTTCCTTCATTAATTCGTACACTCCATTGTGCAATAACTTCAAAAGCCAAACTGGAGCTGCTTCATATCTTGGGAGGCCATGTTTTTCTCAGCCCTTCACTTCCAACAACACTCAGAATATGACTGTCGAGGAAAGTGGTGGAGCTAGAAATTCTATTAATTGGATTCAAAAAAATACAAAAGTGTCGCACCTAGGATTTGACCCCGTAACCTAAAGTAAAATTTTGAACCATTTTTGTCACTATGCTAGAATCTTTGTTTATGTTAAGGAAAAACAAAAATTTGTAAATACAAAAATATTTGCTTCTACTTTAACTTTCCGACGAAAAAGATTTATACATATGGCCATTCTAAGGACCCGAGTCTTGGATCAGTCTTTGTTGCTGCAATTTCTTCAATAGTTTGCAATAGTTAATTTGTGTTTCGAGAAAGTAATATGCGTGGAGACTGGAGAGAACTCTAGCAAAAATTAAAAATGGGAAGAGAATTTTTTATGCGGTTAGTTCTTCTTCTATGACTTGCTCAGAAAGGTGTCAAACACGTAACGCTATGTGAAAAAAGTTTTGGTAGATTATTCACGAGGCTAATTTTTATGTGTTGTCGATGTAAAAAAAATATACATAATCAAGTAGACGAATTTAATATATTTTGTCTTCTATATAAGATAACATTTTGCCAATGTAAGGTCAGTGCGTCAATAGGTCAATCCAAAATTTATTCGTGATTTTCCCTAGCTATAGCATGATGTACCAATACTCCCAATTGTCATAACTGTATCTTTGTTTATCTACATCGAGAGATGATCAATCTATTGAATTTAATACTAAATGATTTATCTTTTAACATAAATACATCGAGAAGAATAGAATTTCTAAAAATGTTGTTTTATTACAAAGTTATTATTTGAAACCTGTTAAACACTACTGATAAATTGGTCAAATAATTAACTTACTTTTTGCAGGACAAATAACCAACTGAATGTTTCTTTATTGAAAATAAGTGAACCCAGTAGCCAATAATCTCTAATTGAAAATTCATTGCCACGTTGACTAAAACCTCACACGTGGCAGAGCTATAGAAACCAGCTAATTAACTGCCAATATTAATTTCTTGGAACTTGTCAGTTCTCACACAGATCTTTCAGACAACAAGGTGTTGCATAAACAGCTAGAGAGGTAAATTCTTGGATTAGACATTTGATTTTTCTTTATCCATTTTATCATTTTCTTTCCAATTCTTTTAAACCAATTGATCATGTTTAGGGTTAGGCCATTGTGTTGCTAGTCAATACTCATAATGTTTGGATATATTTGGATTGGCTTAAAAGGTGATCAAAAGGTATTTTTTTGATTTGATTACACTAAAAGAGCTAAATATTTTTTTAGCCAAGATGAGCCAAAAGTTATAAGTTTGACTTTAGCTAGATAGATGGTCCTACTTATGTAATATATAGAGGTAGACATAAACATCAAACTTTGTAATATTCCACATGCATAGTAGTGCATTTTGCAGCTTATTTTAAGACCAGAAGAAACTTGTTGCAACTTGCACGCATAGAAAATACTAAAGGAGAAAATTGACCTTACTGGTCCTAGGTATAAACTCTTGGGATGTTTATACAGCTATATATAGTAACCGACTCGCATATATAATAACTGCCATTTAATATTGCATTCAACAAAAAATTGCTTAGGCATGATACAAAATTGAGCTAGCTGAGGCAAAATATTAAATATGGTCTTTCCGGACAAAGAAACAATTATGAAGACTCACAAAGTGTTAAGAATATGTTGCATCAATCTAGTGTCATATAAATCCAGCAGTACATGTTTTTTTTTTTTTTTTTTTTT